GTCCAGCCAGGATTCTACAACCTTGGTATTATTAGCACCACACTCTAACCAAAGTTGCTAAAAGCCTAGTCTTGTGAAAGTCCAAGTTTCGAGGGCCATCACACTGCAGGGACCCTCTTCCTTCACCATATTCTCACAAATCAGAGCCTCATAGCTCATGTCTAAACTAGCAAAATAATTTTACCAGGCTCCACATCACTTCTCCCACTGGAACATGTAGGGCTTTGCCACTAAATGGAAAACAAATCAAAGTGCAGGCCTTTTACCTTTATTCCAGTCATCAGTCACAACTGTTCATTCATCTGTGTGCCACTTCTGTTTTCCAGACAAAATATATAAGGAGATTAACTACTTAGACTCACAGAGTCACAGAAAAGTAGGGTTGGAAGTGACCTCAGGAGGTCATCTAGTCCATCCCTTGCTCAAAGCAGAACCAGCCCCAACTAGATAATTCCAGCCAAGGCTTTGTCAAGCCGGGCCTTAAACACCTCCAAGGATGGAGGTTCCACCACCTCTCTGGGTAACCTGTCCCAGTGTTTCACCACCCTCCTAGTTAGAAGGTTTTTCCTAATATTCAACCTAACCCCCTCCCTTGCTGCAACTTGAGACCATGGCTCCTTGTTCTGTCATCTGTCCCCACTGAGAACAGTCTAGCTCCATCCGTTTTGGAAGCATACCTCAGGTAGTTAAAAGGCTGCTATCAAATCCCCTCTCAGTCTTCTCTTTTGCTGAGTAAATAAACCCAGTTCCCACAGCCTCTCCTCAAAAGTCATATGCCCCAGTCCCCAAACCATTTTTGTTGCCATCTGCTGGACTCTTTCCAACTTTTCCACATCCTTTTTAAAGGGGGGTGGGAGAAGGGCAGGGCAAAACTGGACACAGTACTCCAGATGTGGCCTCACCAGTGCAGAATAGAGCAGAATAATTACTTCCCTTGATCTGCTGGCAATGCTCCTACTAATGCAGCCCAGTATGCCATTAGCCTTCTTGGCAACAAAGACACACTGTTAGCTCATATCCATCTTATTGTCCACTGTAACCCCCAGGTCCTTTTCTTCAGCAGCGTTGCCTAGCCAGTCAGTCCCCAGCTTGTACTGGTGCATGGGATTCTTCTGTCAAAGGTACAGGACTTTGCACTTGTCCTTATTGAACCTCATGAGATTTTTTGGCCCAATCCTCCAATTTGTCTAGATAATTGTGAATCCTAGCCCTACCCTCCAGTGTTTCTACTACACCCTCCAGCTTGGTGTCATCTGCTGCTGAGGGTACACCTCTATGCCATCTTCCATATCATTAATGAAGATATTGAACAAAACCAGGCCCAGGACTGACCCCTGGGACACTCCACTTGATACCAGCTTGCATTGAGCCATTGATTACTACCCATTGAGCCCAACAATCCAGCCTGCTTTCTATTCACCTTACAGTTCATTCACTCAACCTATACTTCCTCAGCTTGCTTGCAAAAATGTTTTGGGAGATGGTATAAAAAGCTTTGCTGAAGTCAAGGAAAATTATGTCTACTGCTTTCCCCACAACCATGTAGCCAGTTATCTCATCATACAAGGCAATCAGGTTGCTCAGGCATAACTTGCCCCTGCTGAATCCATGAGGACTGTTCCTAATCACTTTCTTCTCCTCCAAGTGCTTAGAAATGGATTCTTTGATGACCTACTCCATGATTTTTCCAGGGACTGAGTTCCCTTGGGTCCTCCTATTTCAGTGTGCTGCACTGTGTAGTATGTTTTTCAATAGAGGAGGTAGAGCAGCAGGAAGTGCAGGACTTCAGAAGAGAAGCACCGGTACCAGAGCAGATTGGAGACATGCAACACATTAAAAATATTTGATCGAGGGAAGATTATATTGCTACCATTTGCCATCTATAATTGTGCTACTACAATTACAATTTTTCCATCTTTAATCTCATATCAGTCTCCTAATTTCTAACCTCAGTTGTCTTTGCTATAGTAGAGGGGCTAGTGTTGCTGCTGAATGAGACTGCTATGATGCAAGGTAACTTCTCTGGAAGTATCAGCTCTGACATGCCCCCAGCAGATTTTACTCCTGTCAAAGCTTTTCTCCCAAAACAAAAAAAGAGTGAACAGCTGTTCAGGACAATTCTTTCAGAAGAGAACTGGCTCTTCCACAAGAAAGACTGATTTGTAGGAGGAAGATCTCCCCACTCCTGCACTAATTTGGCTGTGGGCCCCGTCTATATGAGACACTGACTGAAATACAAAGAGCAGGGGCTGTTCTTCTGCAGCAAGAACTGGCAGGGTTCCTGGTGGGGAGAATGAGCTCCTGTTCTGCAAGTTGATTGACAAGATCGGGTGCAGGGCGTGGGGGGGCGGGGAGTTTCTCCCAGGGCGGGAACCCTCCCTGAGACCTTTGTGGCAGCTTCTGGCTGAAAAGTAGCTGTTAACTGCCGATTGACAGACACCCCCTTCTCAGGCAGAGGCAGGGCCAGCCTTACGGGTGGGTAATGTGGGCAACCGCCCAGGATGCCATGATCATGGGAGCACCACACTCACACACATGCATCTACACACATATACCACCTCTGCCTCCTTGCTGGACTGCACCCCGTGCCTCTGCCTATCGGCCTCTGCCTGCAGCAGTGCTGCTGACTTGAGCGGGGGTAGTGGAAGTTGGCCAGCTACAGGGCTCAGCGATGATGACGAGGTCCCACTACCTGCTGGACAGGGTGTGAGCAGCACTCACTACCTCATGCCCACAACTGGCTCTATGAGTTCTACTACTGCATGTGTCAGCAGCATGCACCCCTCATGCTTCTGCTGCTCATCATCATGGGCACCTGCCTGGTGCTGCTTGCCATCTTCTTCCCCTCAGGGCTGGTAAGAGCCAAGCCCCCACTCCTCCCCTGCCACCATTCCCCTCTTGCCCTGCTAAGCCACCACCAGGGAAGCTGTGGGGAAGCAAGTCTGCCACTCCAACCCAGCAGCTCCCTCCGGGGCTTTATTTCTGAAACTTCACTAATACTACTATATACTTAAACTCAAAGAAAGGGTACCAAAATACAGGTTCACCCAGGGCACCATTCTCCTTAGGGCCAGGTCTGGGAAGAGGAAAGGGCAGGTTATCAATTAATGAGCGCCACTAAAAGTGAAGCAGCCCTGTGGTGGTCCCTGTTTGGAGGGCTCCCCTATGTAGCTCTCCAGCCAGGGGGCTGGAATACATGTACATTACAATTCTCGAGATAATTTTCTAGTTGCAGGAATTTCACAGAAATTCTTAACCTCTAAAAAAAATGCCCATCCACCACCTCAGTCAGCACAAACCCCAGCACTGCCAGGAAGAGCTGTGCAAAGGAGATTGAACCTTGGACCATCGACAAGTGAAACCAATACCTAAAGGCAAGGCTGTCCAACTGGCAGCCTGTGGGCTGCATGTGGCCAGTGAGAGTTTAATTTCTGGCCCCCAGGGGCCCACCACCCCCATTGCTCCAGGTGGGGGCTTGGGGTTCCCTCTCCCTCCTCCACATTTTCTTGTATGTCTCCACGCCACTGGGGTAGCGTAGCACTGCATGTTGCAGCCCATGATGGGGGCAGCCAGGGACCTGGAATGCCTGTGTGGTGCAGAGCAGTGTGGGAGCACACGACTGGGCAGATGAAGATGAGATGGGTGCCACTGATAATCCAGCAGAGGTGGGGGGAGCCCACATGCATAAGCAGGGTGCAGTGGGGAAGTGACTGCCCGTGCATGTGCCACATGCAGCGGGGGGGGGGGGGGGGGGG